CTTGGTTCTTTGCTCAAAAAAATTTTTGGATGTTTTATTTGTATTTGTGTTAAGCACTTGAATATTTATGCAAAGTTTCAATCCATTTGTATAAACCCTCGAAGAAAGAAGTGAGAAAATTGATTTTGACTAGGGTCGCCCCTAGTCCAAAATTGAAAATATATTTCCTACTTGGTTCTTTGCTCAAAAAAATTTTTGGATGTTTTATTTGTATTTGTGTTAAGCATTTGAATATTTATGCAAAGTTTCAATCCATTTGTATAAACCCTCGAAGAAAAAAATGACAAATTGATTTTGACTAGGGTCGCTCCTAGTCCAAAATTAAAAATGTATTTCCTACTTGGTTCTTTGCTCAAAAACATTTTAGGATGTTTTATTTGTATTTGTTTTAAGCACTTGAATATTTATGCAAAGTTTCAATCCATTTGTATAAACCCTCGAAGAAAGAAGTGAGAAAATTGATTTTGACTAGGGTTGCCCCTAGTCCAAAATTGAAAATGTATTTCCTACTTGGTTCTTTGCTCAAAAAAATTTTTGGATGTTTTATTTGTATTTGTGTTAAGCACTTGAATATTTATGCAAAGTTTCAATCCATTTGTATAAACCCTCGAAGAAAGAAGTGAGAAAATTGATTTTGACTAGGGTCGCCCCTAGTCCAAAATTGAAAATGTATTTCCTACTTGGTTCTTTGCTCAAAAAAATTTTTGGATGTTTTATTTGTATTTGTGTTAAGCACTTGAATATTTATGCAAAGTTTCAATCCATTTGTATAAACCCTCGAAGAAAAAAGTGACAAAATTGATTTTGACTAGGGTCGCCCCTAGTCCAAAATTGAAAATGTATTTCCTACTTGGTTCTTTGCTCAAAAAAATTTTTGGATGTTTTATTTGTATTTGTGTTAAGCATTTGAATATTTATGCAAAGTTTCAATCCATTTGTATAAACCCTCGAAGAAAGAAGTGAGAAAATTGATTTTGACTAGGGTCGCCCCTAGTCCAAAATTGAAAATGTATTTCCTACTTGGTTCTTTGCTCAAAAAAATTTTTGGATGTTTTATTTGTATTTGTGTTAAGCACTTGAATATTTATGCAAAGTTTCAATCCATTTGTATAAACCCTCGAAGAAAGAAGTGAGAAAATTGATTTTGACTAGGGTCGCCCCTAGTCCAAAATTGAAAATGTATTTCCTACTTGGTTCTTTGCTCAAAAAAATTTTTGGATGTTTTATTTGTATTTGTGTTAAGCATTTGAATATTTATGCAAAGTTTCAATCCATTTGTATAAACCCTCGAAGAAAAAAATGACAAATTGATTTTGACTAGGGTCGCTCCTAGTCCAAAATTAAAAATGTATTTCCTACTTGGTTCTTTGCTCAAAAACATTTTAGGATGTTTTATTTGTATTTGTTTTAAGCACTTGAATATTTATGCAAAGTTTCAATCCATTTGTATAAACCCTCGAAGAAAGAAGTGAGAAAATTGATTTTGACTAGGGTCGCCCCTATTCCAAAATTGAAAATGTATTTCCTACTTGGTTCTTTGCTCAAAAAAATTTTTGGATGTTTTATTTGTATTTGTGTTAAGCACTTGAATATTTATGCAAAGTTTCAATCCATTTGTATAAACCCTCGAAGAAAGAAGTGAGAAAATTGATTTTGACTAGGGTCGCCCCTAGTCCAAAATTGAAAATGTATTTCCTACTTGGTTCTTTGCTCAAAAAAATTTTTGGATGTTTTATTTGTATTTGTGTTAAGCATTTGAATATTTATGCAAAGTTTCAATCCATTTGTATAAACCCTCGAAGAAAAAAATGACAAATTGATTTTGACTAGGGTCGCTCCTAGTCCAAAATTAAAAATGTATTTCCTACTTGGTTCTTTGCTCAAAAACATTTTAGGATGTTTTATTTGTATTTGTTTTAAGCACTTGAATATTTATGCAAAGTTTCAATCCATTTGTATAAACCCTCGAAGAAAGAAGTGAGAAAATTGATTTTGACTAGGGTCTCCCCTATTCCAAAATTGAAAATGTATTTCCTACTTGGTTCTTTGCTCAAAAAAATTTTTGGATGTTTTATTTGTATTTGTGTTAAGCACTTGAATATTTATGCAAAGTTTCAATCCATTTGTATAAACCCTCGAAGAAAAAAATGACAAATTGATTTTGACTAGGGTCGCTCCTAGTCCAAAATTGAAAATGTATTTCCTACTTGGTTCTTTGCTCAAAAACATTTTAGGATGTTTTATTTGTATTTGTTTTAAGCACTTGAATATTTATGCAAAGTTTCAATCCATTTGTATAAACCCTCGAAGAAAGAAGTGAGAAAATTGATTTTGACTAGGGTCGCCCCTAGTCCAAAATTGAAAATGTATTTCCTACTTGGTTCTTTGCTCAAAAAAATTTTTGGATGTTTTATTTGTATTTGTGTTAAGCACTTGAATATTTATGCAAAGTTTCAATCCATTTGTATAAACCCTCGAAGAAAGAAGTGAGAAAATTGATTTTGACTAGGGTCGCCCCTAGTCCAAAATTGAAAATGTATTTCCTACTTGGTTCTTTGCTCAAAAACATTTTAGGATGTTTTATTTGTATTTTTTTTAAGCACTTGAATATTTATGCAAAGTTTCAATCTATTTGTATAAACCCTCGAAGAAAAAAATGACAAATTGATTTTGACTAGGGTCGCCCCTAGTCCAAAATTGAAAATGTATTTCCTACTTGGTTCTGTGCTCAAAAACATTTCAGAATGTTTTATTTGCATTTGTTTTAAGCACTTGAATATTTATGCAAAGTTTCAATCCATTTGTATAAACCCTCGAAGAAAGAAGTGAGAAAATTGATTTTGACTAGGGTCGCCCCTAGTCCAAAATTGAAAATGTATTTCCAACTTGGTTCTTTGCTCAAAAAAATTTTTGGATGTTTTATTTGTATTTGTGTTAAGCATTTGAATATTTATGCAAAGTTTCAATCCATTTGTATAAACCCTCGAAGAAAAAAATGACAAATTGATTTTGACTAGGGTCGCTCCTAGTCCAAAATTGAAAATGTATTTCCTACTTGGTTCTTTGCTCAAAAAAATTTTTGGATGTTTTATTTGTATTTGTGTTAAGCATTTGAATATTTATGCAAAGTTTCAATCCATTTGTATAAACCCTCGAAGAAAAAAGTGAGAAAATTGATTTTGACTAGGGTCGCCCCTAGTCCAAAATTGAAAATGTATTTCCTACTTGGTTCTTTGCTCAAAAAAATTTTTGGATGTTTTATTTGTATTTGTGTTAAGCATTTGAATATTTATGCAAAGTTTCAATCCATTTGTATAAATCCTCGAAGAAAAAAAGTGACAAAATTGATTTTGACTAGGGTCGCCCCTAGTCCAAAATTGAAAATGTATTTCCTACTTGGTTCTTTGCTCAAAAAAATTTTTGGATGTTTTATTTGTATTTGTGTTAAGCACTTGAATATTTATGCAAAGTTTCAATCCATTTGTATAAACCCTCGAAGAAAGAAGTGAGAAAATTGATTTTGACTAGGGTCGCCCCTAGTCCAAAATTGAAAATGTATTTCCTACTTGGTTCTTTGCTCAAAAAAATTTTTGGATGTTTTATTTGTATTTGTGTTAAGCACTTGAATATTTATGCAAAGTTTCAATCCATTTGTATAAACCCTCGAAGAAAGAAGTGAGAAAATTGATTTTGACTAGGGTCGCCCCTAGTCCAAAATTGAAAATGTATTTCCTACTTGGTTCTTTGCTCAAAAAAATTTTTGGATGTTTTATTTGTATTTGTGTTAAGCACTTGAATATTTATGCAAAGTTTCAATCCATTTGTATAAACCCTCGAAGAAAGAAGTGAGAAAATTGATTTTGACTAGGGTCGCCCCTAGTCCAAAATTGAAAATGTATTTCCTACTTGGTTCTTTGCTCAAAAAAATTTTTGGATGTTTTATTTGTATTTGTGTTAAGCATTTGAATATTTATGCAAAGTTTCAATCCATTTGTATAAACCCTCGAAGAAAAAAATGACAAATTGATTTTGACTAGGGTCGCTCCTAGTCCAAAATTGAAAATGTATTTCTTACTTGGTTCTTTGCTCAAAAAAATTTTAGGGTGTTTTATTTGTATTTGTTTTAAGCATTAGTATATTTATGCAAAGTTTCAATCCATTTGTATAAACCCTCGAAGAAAAAAATGACAAATTGATTTTGACTAGGGTCGCTCCTAGTCCAAAATTGAAAATGTATATCCTACTTGGTTCTTTGCTCAAAAAAATTTTAGGATGTTTTATTTGTATTTTTTTTAAGCACTTGAATATTTATGCAAAGTTTCAATCCATTTGTATAAACCCTCGAAGAAAGAAGTGAGAAAATTGATTTTGACTAGGGTCGCTCCTAGTCCAAAAATGAAAATGTATTTCCTACTTGGTTCTTTGCTCAAAAAAATTTTTGGATGTTTTATTTGTATTTGTTTTAAGCATTAGTATATTTATGCAAAGTTTCAATCCATTTGTATAAACCCTCGAAGAAAAAATGACAAATTGATTTTGACTAGGGTCGCTCCTAGTCCAAAATTGAAAATGTATTTCCTTCTTGGTTCTTTGCTCAAAAAAATTTGGATGTTTTATTTGTATTTGTTTTAAGCACTAGAATATTTATGCAAAGTTTCAATCCATTTGGATAAATCCTCGAAGAAAAAAAGTGAGAAAATTGATTTTGACTAGGGTCGCGTCTAGTCCAAAATTTAAAATTGATTTTCTATGGTGTACTTTGGTCAAAAAAATTTTTTGGATGTTTTATTTGAATTGACATAATTCTGACATAAATCACATACCAATATTACTTTTTGTAATGCATAGCTTAAAAAAAATCGAAATCTAAAATTTCGACTACCCCATCTGAATTTTGTTCATATTCTTTGTTTATATGTTATTAATTATTTTTTAATAATATTTTAACATTTACGAGAAAATGTGGTTCAAATAAGTGTGCAGTATGGCCGAGATTTGGACCAAAATCAGCTATACTGGTTCATAGTGTTCCCGAGGGTGACAAAATTCAAACTAAGTGCTTTTGTAGCTGACATAATTATAACATAAATTAGGTATAACTTTTGAACTGTGTAGATATGGGTCTCGGACGTACTTCACGCCCACCCTTTAAACTTATGCTGAGCAAATCTTGGTCTATCCATAAGACTTTTGATGGTACGGTGTGAATATATCCGCATTGGGTTTCTACCCGATACACTAGTTTTATTATTGATTGCAGTCAAAGCAATGAACTTGAACTGACTATTCAGAATGTACAACGAGAACATCATGGAACTTATAAATGCCTTGCAGTCAATCGCATTAGTAAAGAAGTTGAAGAAATAAGTATCAATATCCTAACGATTCCAAAAGTTTCAATTCGAGCATCATCTATTGTCATGAAAGAGAACTTAAATTATTCATTAACCTGCATTATTGAAGACGCAAAGGAACAGAAAGTTGAAATAAATTGGACTGATGAAAATGGAAAATTACTTCAGAAGGTAGGATGGGAACTGTTTAATAAATTTTGGTAACTCAACAAGATCAAACTTTTTAGGGTGGTGACGAATACTCATTTACTGCAGATCATCGAGACAACGGAAACAAAGTTAAATGTCGAGTACACAATAATGACTTTGTCGTTGAGGACGTTATTACTCTTAAAGTAAATTATCAACCACGATTTGTTAATAAACAAAATCAGTCAAGTTTGCAGCTATTTTATGGCTCAAAAATAACATTTGACTGTTTAACAATTGAGAATCCTAAGAAGAACTCGTCAAAGTGGTTATTTACGCATAAAAATTCGAATAAAACTCAAACAGTTATGGACTATAGCAATGACACTTTGAGTATATCAGAGCTTCTTGAGGAACATGAAGGGCTTTATGAGTGTATTGTGACTAACGACGTTGGCGAGGTCAGAAGAGAATTTTCGATTGTTTTGCTTCCAAAAGGTAAGTTTAAAGATTTTATCTGTCAAGTAAGCTGCAGCCATTTTGCTACACTATTAATGCTGGCTAATTTTTGTAGCTTCAAGATTTTAAAAATATTTATAAATTTCTCAGAACCTCCAAAAGTTGCAACTAAAAATATCATAATTGCCAAAGAAGGTGAAGACGTTGAACTTTTTTGTGAATGTAGAGATTGCTTGCCTCTAGCAAACTTTACTTGGACCTACGACAATATTGGAAGTTATGAAAAGTTTTTTATTAAAAATCAGGAGGAAAATATATTCAAAACTATAATGAAATTAAGCAATGTCGATGAAAATGATAATGGAACATTCTATTGTAGCATGTGGAATGAATTGGGTGAAGATGAAGTTGCTATTGACTTGTTAGTACAAACTTCACCAAAAATAGATGGAATAATTTTAAATAATGAAGATTATGATGAGGAACGAGTAGCAGAAGTTGATGAAAAGTTTGAAGTTTTAGAAGGGAAAAACTTTTCTGTTGAATGTATTGTTGCTGATAGTTATCCTGAACCTTCAATTTATTGGATGAGAAATAATGAGAAAATTACAAATGAATCAGTTCTGACAATTGAGAGTGTTTTAGTAAGTGACGAAGGCAATTATGAATGTTTTGCAGAAAATGATTTAGGAGTCACTAAAAAAGGATTTCACGTGGATGTTAATTATCCCCCAAGACGTAAACGAGAAGTTGATACATCCTATGAAGTCCCGAAAGACAATGATGTTACACTAAAATGTGAGCTAATTGGAAATCCACCTCCTAAAATTTCCTGGAAACTTAATTCAAAAGAAATAATGTCAAACGAGAAGTATAAAGTTGAAGAAAATTATTTAAAGTTTATGGCAAGTGCTGACGATAGTGGAATTTACAAGTGTAATGGAACTAATAAATTCGGTCATTCGACTATCGACTTTTCCGTGATTGTCATGAGTAAGTGATAAAATGACTACTAAGGGGTCGTTTTAACTATCCTCCTTTCTAAACCCTAAACAGCCCTCAATATTTTCAAGTACTAATAAAAGCTCAATATCTGTATATAGATCCTCCGCAGATACTAGACCCAAATGATGAGTCATTGAAGATAAAGACTAATTCAACTCTTAAATTACTCTGCGATGCAACTGGATATCCACTGCCCAAAATAACATTTTTAAGAAACAAAAATATTGTGTCCAATGAATCTCATTTTGAGATTAAAGCTGTTACACAATCTGATTCAGGAAGTTACAACTGTATTGCAGAGAATCAAATTGGACAGATCGAAAAGATTTTCTACGTTTCAGTCGTAGAGGAAGCAAAAATCATTTCAGTATTTGAAAATCTAACGATCATAAATAATAACTCAATTGAACTCAATTGCTCAGCTACAGGACTTCCAAAGCCAATCATAAGTTGGAGGCATGATGATAAGGAAATCGGAAATTCCACAGATTCCTTATTACTAGATCATTCTTATAATAGTGGCAAAATATCATGTTATGCACAGAACTCTGAAGGAAGTGATGAGAAATATTTTTATGTAGATGTGGTCAAGATGCCAATTATTTTGCCAGCAGCTACGACAGTAGATAAAGAAATTAAATTGAAGGAAAATGACAATTTGGAGCTTTTATGCCCGTTTGAAAATTTCAATGATTTAGTTTGGAGCTTAAATGGACACAATTTAAATAGTTCTGAATACAAAGAACTTGATGGAAAGATATTCATCACTCATGTAAACAGACGACATAATGGAACTTGGGATTGCACTGTATCTAATGTTGCTGGTCAAGAAACATTTTCGTATGCTGTCAATGTTCTCATGCCTCCAAAGATTTTTGCAAGTTGGAATTTAAACGACAGCATAACAGACTTCCTTTACTCTGAAACAGACATTGACGAAAAAGTTTTGAAGAAAGGTGAAAAGTTGATTCTGAATTGCACAGTTGATGGAAGTCCATTACCAAAAATTCAATGGCGTAAAGGAACAGACTTGTTTGGCGAGGGAGAAATTCTATCGATTGATAATTTGCACTTCCATCATAGGTAAAGTTCCAACCTTAATGAATATCTATGCTAAATCTTTTTTCATCAATTCTAGTGACATATATTCATGCATTGCTGAGAATAGCCAGGGAATCGTCAAAAAGTTTTTCAAAGTGGATGTTACTTCGGCGCCATACATTGACGATACAATTTCACTTCAAACTAAGTTTCAAAAGATGATTGGAGATTCTGTGATATTAAAATGTAATTCAATTATTGCGAATCCATCACCTCTTCATTTTTGGTTTAAAGATAAGTAAGTTATACTCAAATGTAGAGCTTGTTCAATCATGTATTAATATATGTCCTTAACAGTGAACTTTTAGATGACGAAGCTGACGATACAATGATAATAGAGCATTTAAAGGCAACAGATAGTGGAAAATATCGATGCCTTGCTAAGAATAAGTTAGGATCTGCCAAGATTGAGTATGAAATCAGCATATATCAGCCATCAAAAATATTGACGATCAATGAAGAATCAACAGCAAATGAGGATTCATTAATATTAAGTTGTACCTCAAAAGGAAATCCTTTACCAATTATTGCTTGGACTCTAAATGGGCATATTTTATCAACAACATCAAAGATGAATGTTGAAAAATTGTTGAGACCCGAGAATGACAATAGAATTTACTTCGATGGATATGGCAATGGAATGAGCTTATTAGATCCCTTTCAATTAAAAGTTTCAAGAAACAAATTTTATTCTAAGCTATTGAAAATTGACTCAAATACTTTAAAGCTTGATCTGATCTTCAAAAACAAGAAGAACCTTCATTTAAATAAGTACATCTGCTATAGCTTTAACGGCTTAGGGAAGGATGAAAAGTCCATTAAAGTCACAATCAAGCAAAAGCCACATTTAGAAACACAAAATATATTCAAAACAAGTGATTATGAAATTTTAGAGCAAATGCCACTACTGCTTAACTGTCCAATTCAAGGTTATCCTCAACCACAAATTAATTGGTTCAAAAATGGTCTAAAAGTTTATGAAAATGAGACTGTAGAGTTTTTAAAGGATCAGCAATTTCTCAGAATATCTGAAGCAAATTCATGGAACTCTGGAAATTATTCTTGCATTGCTAAAAACGAAGAAGGTGAATCAGAATTAATATTCAATGTCTTGGTATTGTCACCTCCGAAAATTTTAAGACAACCTAATGCTAATTACCTTAACGATGAGAATCGAGATAACTCTAATCATAATGAGAATGAAGAAAGGATTGATGTGCTTAAAGGAAGTAATGTAATTTTAGAATGTACTGTAGAAGCATCACCAAAAGCTAAAATTCATTGGGTAAAGCTTAACTTTTACGATTCTTTCAAAGGAAATGAACTTTTGAAGACGGAAGAAAACTTTTTGGTAAGATAAAATAATATTAATTAGGTATGAGTTCTTTAGATAAATTAAGCAACTGACCTTCACAATTATCTAAGGGTCGTTTGAAATAAAAGTCCTAAGTCAACTAATGTATTGAATAAAATCTTTTCAGGCACTAAATTCTTTGCAAGAATCGAGCAGCTTCATGTGTTATGCAAACAACACTATTGGTAACATCCAAAAGTTCTTCTTTATAAATGTTCAGTATCCCCCGACATTGAGTGAAAATGGTAAATCTGAAGAATATTTAACAGTTAAATTACATCACAGCGTGAATTTAGAATGTCATATAAAGGCATCGCCTGAAGCAATTACATATTGGAGTTTTGTGAGTACTGCCTTAATTTCTATAAAGTTTAAAATAGTCATAGATACCAATCAATGTCAATAGTCAATTTATCTTTTTATAAATTGTAGAATTCAACAAATCTGACGAAATCGAATGTTGATTATTACTTTTCAACAGATAATCAGATAATGAGAATTACTAATGCGAATAGGAATCATGAAGGTAGGAGTTGCAATATGCTGATTATTACTAAAATACTGTAATTAAATTTTTTATATGAAGGAAAATACCTGTGCAATAGTGTTAATAATCTCGGATGGATTCAAAAGGTTTTTTATGTCAAGCTAGAGATACCAATTCAATATTCTCCTTGGTCTCAATGGTCAGATTGCAGTTCAAGTTGTGGCTCGAATGGTGTTCAATATCGATCAAGGACATGTGTTCTATTAGATGCTGTTCCGTCTTATAATTGTTCTGGTGAGAATGTTCAAGCTCGAAAATGCAATGATATTCCATGTCCAATTAACGGCGGTTGGAGTGATTGGGTTGAATGGAGTGAGTGTCCTGCCTGTTATGATACACAGTTGAAGAAGAAGTCAAAACAGAAGAGATATCGAAAGTGTGATAATCCATTTCCTGCTTACGGTGGCTTAAATTGTGATGGAAATAATGAAGAAGAAAAAGATTGCAAATTAAGTCCTTGTCCTGTTGATGGAAAATGGAGTGATTGGAGTAATTGGTCACTATGCAGTAAGACATGTGGTAAAGGTTTAAAAACTAGAAAACGCTTTTGTAACAAGCCATCACCAATGCATAATGGAAAACCATGTGACGGTGAAAATTATGAAGTTGAAGAATGTAAAATCAGACCTTGCAGTAACTACGGCATGCTTAAATCCTTAAATAACAGATATGATTCAACTGAGAGGTATGAAGAGTTCTCCGATTTTGGACTCATGAACGATCAAAACGGTAAGCCTAAAATGTATCAATATATGCAGCATAGAGAGATGGAATATTCACCACCAGTCCAAGATCGAGGCTTAAAAGTCAAAATAACTCTCGACACTTACAAGCCGATCTCTGCAGAGACTTATAATAGCCATATAAACAACTTAAAACCAAATGTTGATGAAGACATTGATCAGATTGAGGATTATTTTGAAACGGAATCATTGGAAAGCATTGAATCAACAGAAGCAACTTTAAGAGTGACAACTGAAAGGAACTGTGGACAAGGATTTAAATATAATCAAGTTTATAGGCAGTGTGAGGAAGTAGATGAATGTAAATCAAAGGAATTAAATTCATGTATGAGTAATGAAAGATGCATTAATACTATTGGAAGTTATCGATGTGAAAAATTGTATAATTAATTTAATTAATAATAAATCTGATTTCCTAGTTTTTTAACCAATAACATTTTTTTTTGTTTTTTTTTTCATCTTTTTATTCCATAAAATCGCAATTTTTCAGTTTTGTTTTTTTATGTATACTATAATATTTTCACTACTATAACTAGGTATATTAATGTTCTTTTTACTTCAAATAATATGTCAAAGAATTTTTTATTTCTTTTTTTAACACATTGGCTACATTTCTACAAAATATTATTTCCGTGACTTAACAAAATCAAGAATCCCAACAATTTCTCATGTGAATAATTAAATCATTACAAATAGATAGCAATATATTTACAATTAAGTAGGAAACAGTAAATTAATGAGCAAATTGCTCGAAAGCTTTCGTCGAAAACTAAATCAACATAATTGGCAAAAAAAAACATAAAAATTGTTAACGTATCAGAAAAGAAATTATTTGTAATTTGTGTGTGTAGGTGTGTGTATCAACTCAGAGTCTCTACTGTTATCTTGTATATATGTAATATCTTTTACTTCGTCAACATATATGTTGTTATAAGGATTCAACCTAATAATTTTATGGACAGCTTTTGTAGCTCAAATCTTTATTTAGATACGCAGAATAACTTGCAGCATGGAAATCTCTATTCACAGTTATTAAGTTCCTTTCTAATATTTTTCAATATTAATCATAGACATGATGATTAATAAAATTTCATTTCCATTTAAAATTTAAATCTACTTTTTTACGGAAATTAGAATCGATCAAAAATAGAATAAAGATTCAATGTGCTGCAATATTTTTTTTAATCATGGACAAAGCTTCTTGCAACACAAAAAATGCCATAATCTAAAAACGTTTTTTTTTTTTTTCTTATCAAACTTCAAAGAGTAAATAATTAAAAATGATTAATAGCTCTTTAAAGCCAACAATTTTGATAACTGGAATTATATCGTGATGCTTTTGGGTTAAAAATAGTTACAAAATCTTAAGTCTAATTTCAAACAAAAAAAAAATGCTCTTTCTAAAAGAAGGTTTAATTAAAAATTTGCGCGCACCTTAAATTCTGAACATAATAAAAATTTATGCGATAGATTTCTGGGGAATGGATAAGAATTAAAGGGTAAACTGCTCGAATTGTATATGCACAACTATACATTTCTTCTGATATTGTCGGTGTTAATTTAGAGTGTTGCTTTTTTTTCAATACAAGGTTTCACAGCAGAACTTCTTAACATCTCACAGAGCACTCTTTTTAATTGAGCACTGAAAAAATTATTAACATGTTTTATGTATATAAAAAAAAGTTCTTTAGGTATATCAAGATACAAAATTTCTTCTCGTTTCTTATTATAAATTTATACGTGTATTATTTTTAAATGCTCGCAAGAAGCAAACACTTTTAAAGATATTCAATTGGAATCACCATTACTCACATTAGCTGTGGACGTCGACGAGTCAGGCACTTTTGACTCGATTACAGTTGAACTGATGACCTCGATAACTTTGACAGTTTCAACTTCACCATCTGCATTTTGTGATGAAATTTTGGAATCTTGTTCAAGGACTTTTGTATCAGTTACGGCAATCATTTTCTCATCATTTGCTTCGTGTAGCTCTAATATCTCAGTTAAAATGCCATCAAACTTATCTTCAGTTGAAATTGGAGACGATGAGGGAGATGATGTATGTGATGAACTTTCATTTGAATTTTGCGAATCGTCAGACGCTTTCAAAACAGAAACTTCAGAAAATGGTCCATCGGCGGCAAAACGATCAAAGGTACTGAATGCTGGCTCGAGTAATTTTGACAATGCTTTCTTCTCTGCATGATACTTTTTGCATTTGTCAACCAAATGCTGCCAGGGCTTCCCGTGAAGGAAACATATGATTATTATCGTCATATTGTCGCCTCCTAATCCTCCCATTTGACAGACCTACAATTATATGCATAAATTTAAAGTTGCTAAAATAACGGTCGAAATATTTTTGAAAAATAACAAACGAAAACAATTCAAAATTTTCAAAAAATAAAGTTTACAATTTTTTAACGGAATTTAAGTTTAATAATTACGGGTGCTAGGCAGTAAGTCAGCAGTTCTTCGCAAATGCTCTCGGGATATTTTCCTTCCGCTATCGACTCCATCACAAAGTTTACGACAGCCTATAACAATAACAATGTCTCATTATTATTACCTCTTTAAAAATAGAACGCTCATTTACTGACCTGATTTGTAAGAACATCCCAAATTCCATCGCATGCTAAGACAAGGAAATCCCAGTCTTCTGACAAATCGTGAACAGATACTTCCGGCAATGCTATAATAACAAAGCAGAGGAGAGAAAGAATTGAAACAATGAGTTTACAGCTTTTTAGAGCTCTCTATAATTAATACGTGTGATGACAATCTTATTATCGTATGACGTGAACTTTAAAATTTTCCCGTACACTCCCGTACTGCCATAAATAATGAATGATGTAATTGCATTGAATGTTTTATTATCGCAACATATATATATTTTTTGATAAAATTCATTTTTTTTTGTTAATTCTTATCTTGATATAAAGTATTTTCAATTCTGTAACAATTATTAAGTGGAAGTTAAGCTTGCTTTTCTAGCACACACTATCTCTATTGACAATATACATTTCCACGAGAATAAACAATTCTCCTCATTAATTCTATTCAAGATTATGCAAGCAATTACCGAATTTTTTACATATTTATTTAATTTTAGCGATTCCGAATAAACAAAAAAAAATTTTCAAAGCTAATGGTGCTTTTTAGATTCAGCAAGTCGTACTTTAAATGATGTTTCTTTCCGCAAGCAATCATAATTTATTAATTTATTTATTCTCTGGCCGTACACACAGCATTTTATCACCGTGAAATTCTCTATGACATGAAAGTGTTTAATATTTATGGCAATTTGGAAGCTATTATTCAATATTCAGCAGCAATAGCTTGGTTGTAATAAAGAATTTTATTATCATATATAATTCCTACCTGTAACAATTTGTTGCTCTGCTGGAATTAACTGGTTGCGTTTGAACAAGAAATCACCTAAAGCTCTAGACAATGCCAAATTTCCATTTACTCTGTTGAATTCTACCCATCCGCCAGCATTATAAATTCGATCCATCTCTTCAGGATTGTTTGGTTTATGATCGTTACTTAATGTGACAAGGTTCCCATTTTTACATGCGATTGCTCGTGAATCTCCAGAATTTGCACAATAAAGCTTGTTATCTCGAATCATGCAGCAAATAGCTGTCGTTCCTGCCATTTGTTCCTTTATTTGCTCTTCATTCAGCATCGCAGTATCAATGTCAAGAAATCCCTATAAAATTAATTAATTATAAGAGTGAAAAATAATTATTAAATCATTCATTGGCAAGCATATTAGGTATATTAGTATAAAGAATCGAAAATGAATGAAAAAACAACATATAGTATCTAAGGTCAAGTATTAAGTAACTGATTTTTTTTTTGTACGTGCCTGTCGAAGTGCTTCTGGGATGTCATTAGGATATTCTGGACGTTGAATCACATATTTGTGAAGATGTTTACTGGAATATTTTGCAACAATTGATCCACCGTGTCCATCTAGTGAGATATTAGTAAAAACATCAGAAAGTCTGAACATTTTATGTCTATTTACCGAAAACACTGAACCAAGCAGTGTCTGGATCATCGGGGAGTGATAGAATGTGTGTATGAGAATCTTCCATGGATGTTCTCCATCCTTGCATGCTCGAAGAAGCGACCTAAAAGCGCCAAAACATGAATCATATTTCTCTTTGTATTTTATTTGAAGGGTTATGGATGATGGAAAATGAAAACAACGCAATTTAATCCAAAATATTTTCCTGGATCAATTTAATTGCATTTATTATTATCACTAACTTACTTTATAGTTCTCATCTTGACAAATTGCCGTTTCCTTAACTGTCACAGGTTCACTAAGAGTTTGTCCCATTTTATCTGTATTAATTTAATTAAATAAATGGGCGAAATTTTTCAACTTTTTTCTCAAATCAATCTCTGATTTATTAAATGTACACTTGGAAAAATCCTTTTAACAATTTTATTGTAGGTATGTCTATCTTCTTTTGTTGGAAAGATGATCATTTCTCTTAATTACATTATTAAAAAAATAATTTTTGATTTAATAATGACTTATTATGCCTATTTTCTTTGAAAAACCTGATTTAATTGCAAAACGCGCTAACAAGTATAAAAGTATTGTCAGTTAACTTTTGTTCCTCATAATTTTTCCACTTTTTCCTCACTTTTTAACAAGCTTTATGATATATTCTAATTTACAAAATAAACTTTATCTAATTGTCAGTTTAATCATTAATAAACTGCATTGAATCAATTACCAATTATTCAATTATGAACATTTATTCCAACAACTTTTGAAAATTCAAAAAACACAGAAAATAAATATGAATTTTAGAAAACCAGTAAAATATTTGTCAATAAAAAGTCAGTCATGGAAATAAGTCGCTTAAAAGTTAAAAAACGCAATAATTTGTCTATCCAGAAGAAGATAGAGATCATTAAATGCGTTGAGAAAGGTAAGAGAACAATTTAAGGATGAAACATGTTCCAATAATGGTGTTTTAACAGGAGAATTGAAGAAAAATGTTGCCAAAGATTTTGAAGTAGGACGATCAACTATTAGTGACATTTATAAACAAAAAGAAAAGATCCATAAGTTTGTTGGAAGTGATATAGATAATCTCTCAAGACAGAAAATTAATCAGAAAATTCGTTATCCATTTTTGGAAAGTAAAGTACTTGAATGGTACGAGAATGCAAGACAAAATCAGCTGTACATAACTGGTCCAATGATTACAGAAAAGGCAATGGAGATTCATAAAGAATCAGGATGCAAAGGAAACTTTCGTGCAAGCAAAGGCTGGCTACAACGGTTTAAATCGCGAAATGGAATAAAGTTGTGTGGATTAATGGAAGTCAAATCAGAGACAGTATGTGATCAAAATGCTATTGATTCTTTTACGACACATTTACAGTCATTAATCCAATATTATGATTTATCACCTGAACAAATCTACAATGCAGATGAGACTGACTTGTTTTGGAAATTAATGCCTAAACCTTCATCTGATAAAGATGAATTAGAAGCAAGCATTCAAGCATATCGTGAACGTATGACTTTATTGGCATGTAGTAATGCAACAGGAAATCATAAATTGCCACTTGTGTGCATAGGAAGGAAATCTAGAGGAATTAATTCAAAAGATATATGTGACTTGCCTTTAATATACTATTCACAAGAGACAGCATGGATGGACAGTAATATATTTTATGACTGGTATCACAATATTTTTGTACCGAGCGTTCGAGATCATTTAAAATCATGTGGACTTCCCGATGTTGCATTACTAATCATCGATCAAAATCCGTCTCATCCAAATACAGAATTTTTAAAAACAGACAGTGATTCAGTCAAAGTACTCTACTTATCTGCAGATATTAAGGCTTCACTTCAACCTATGCAGCTTGGAATTATTCACGATTTAAAATCATTCTATCGCTACTCATTGCTATCTAATCTAATTGAAAAGAACTTAGTATTTACGGATTATGAAAAACAACTGACATTTCTAGATTCATTAAAAATGCTAGGCGCTGCATGGGATTCAGTTAGTACTGTACGAATCCAACAGTCTTTTTCAAAGATTCTATCAATTGAATATTATGAAGCTACTCTGGAATGTGAAGTGAATGGCCAGTCCTTTTCCAAAGTAATTGAAACAATTCCAGAATGCATACTCTATAATTACTCTATGGATCGTCTAAATAACTGGCTTTTCTCTGATGATGTTGACTGTACAAAAAGTTCTGAAAGCTCTTGTCTTGATTTAAGCACATCCGAGATGGATATTCAGAATAATGAAGAAAATATTGTGTTCAAAGAAGTCTCGGAAAGTAACAATTATTTAGTGTTTGAGGAAATTGGTTCCAGTGAAGATAATTTAATTCAGACAAAGACAGATGAGCTTTCAGAAAATATCGAAGACATCCTAACAACTACACAAGAAGATTTTATAGAGAATGAACTGAAAATGATTGATGAAAATGACTTTTTTGAGCCCAATAATTATGTGTCTTCTGAAGATGCCTTAAATGCTATAGATACTATACTAAGATTTGTAAAAAGTGACCCAATTGAATCCAATAATATTGGATTTTTGCTTGAACTGAAAGATACAATTTATAACCGATTGAGTAATGCATAAGTTATAAGTTTTGTTCCTTAATGAAGATTTATACAAGTTCAAAATGATATTTTTTGAATAAAACGACAAAGTTAAGAGAGTTATTCACGGATTTTTAATTTTCAAATGTTTTTAAACAAAGATTTTTCAGCATAAGTTTCAAAAAACAATTTTTCGTTAAAACAAACATAGATATGAAGTGACTAATATCGCATTCTACGAATAAAAATTAATCAATTCTTGATGAATCTACACTTTAGGGTGGGCTATTATATAATTTTCTATATGAACTAAGACTTAAGGTCAAAAAATTTTGTTTCAATTTTATTACTATAGATCATTATTATAAAATGGATCATCATACTGGGGTTCCTCGATTTGAGTAGTTGTTTTTTTTCCAAAAATTTTCTAATCAAATCGAAACTATTCAAATCGAGGAAATTAGTAAGATAGTTTTTTGCAAATTCTCCCTCATTTCTTAACTTTTCTTATGCACTCATAGAAAAAAAGTAACCATAATATTTGTTATATGTTTGTTAAACTAGTTTAACAAATTATTGGTTAAGTTTACATGGGTAAAAAAAATTTCAACCAAACTATTTGTTAAAAATTTTACAATTGAGTTTGTTAAATCAACAAATTTATTTGTTAATAATTGATTTAATTAAATTTTAATTTTTGTATTCAAAACTCTTGTTTGATTAATTTCAAACGATTCCCATTAATTTATTGCGTTATTTTTAATGAGAAAACTGCTTTAAATTGAATTTTGTTGATTTTGTTTAACAAATTAATTTGTTAATTTTAACAAAACATTTGTTACAATGTTTTTATTTGTAATTTGTTTTGGAAAATAATGATTTACAAACCAAATCGTAATTTAAAAATTAAATTTGTTCATTTTTTTAAGTCCTACATTTCTATTTTATTATTCATAAATTAATTTTAAAATTTGGATATATTTTTTAAAGAATTATTTATATTGGTTCTGAATCAAATTTTATAAGTAAAAGTTTACAAGCAGCGGACTAGCGGATCATCAACAGGAATTCAGAAGTTAAGCAACCACGGAAACATTTTAAAATAAGATGGGTGACCAAATTAACAATTTTCTGGTTAATATTAACCGAAAATTTGTTATTTTTTTCTGTAAAAAAAAATTTTAACAAAAAGTTTGTTAAATTAACAATTTTTATAGTTAACAATTCAACCTTACAAATAATTTGGTTAAATTTAACAAATAAGTTCGTAAACACTATTTTAACGAATTGTTTGTTAACATTTTCCATACAAGTTACAAACATTTTGTTACTTTTTTTCTATGAGTGTGTGTTTTAGATAACTTAATTTATTTCAATGCATATTCATATTGTTTTTAAACAATCTATTCTTTAAAATTCAATTCTGATTCAAGAACCGAAAAATTATTGGAATTTAAATTGAATGAAATTTAAATGCTAATTTCAATTTTGAAATTTTAACTCTTTTACCGTAAACCCCATGAAATATAGCTATCGTTTGGGTTTATGCGAGGGGAAGACAACATTATAAAACATTATGGCTTGGTTCAGAACTGAACAATCATTAAAAAAATAAATTCTCAAATTTACAAAGAGAAAGTTTCATAAAAAATGATGAAAAATATTTATAATTTATAATTATATTTATATATAAAAATTCATGTTTCAAAAATTGAACATGAAAAATTCACATTTCAAAAATTGAAGACGAAAAATTCACATTTCAAGAATTGAAGACGAAAAATTCAAATTTCAAGAATTGAAGATGAAAAATTCACATTTCAAGAATTGAAGATGAAAAATTCACATTTCAAAAAATTGAACATGAAAAATTCACATTTCAAGAATTGAAGACGAAAAATTCACATTTCAAAAAATTGAACATGAAAAATTCACATTTCAAAAATTGAAGACGAAAAATTCACGTTTCAAAAATTGAAGATGAAAAATTCACATTTCAAAAATTGAAGACGAAAAATTCACATTTTAAGAATTGAAGACGAAAAATTCAAATTTCAAAAATTGAAGACGAAAAATTCACATTTCAAAAAATTGAACATGAAAAATTCACATTTCAAAAATTGAAGACGAAAAATTCACGTTTCAAAAATTGAAGATGAAAAATTCACATTTCAAAAATTGAAGACGAAAAATTCACATTTCAAGAATTGAAGATGAAAAATTCACATTTCAAAAAATTGAACATGAAAAATTCACATTTCAAGAATTGAAGACGAAAAATTCACATTTCAAAAAATTGAACATGAAAAATTCACATTTCAAAAATTGAAGACGAAAAATTCACGTTTCAAAAATTGAAGATGAAAAATTCACATTTCAAAAATTGAAGACGAAAAATTCACATTTCAAGAATTGAAGATGAAAAATTCACATTTCAAAAAATTGAACATGAAAAATTCACATTTCAAGAATTGAAGACGAAAAGTTCACATTTCAAAAAATTGATCATGAAAAATTCACATTTCAAAAATTGAAGACGAAAAATTCACCTTTCAAAAATTGAAGACGAAAAATTCACGTTTCAAAAATTGAAGACGAAAAATTCACATTTCAAAAATTGAAGACGAAAAATTCACATTTCAAGAATTGAAGATGAAAAATTCACATTTCAAAAAATTGAACATGAAAAATTCACATTTCAAGAATTGAAGACGAAAAATTCACATTTCAAAAAATTGAACATGAAAAATTCACCTTTCAAAAATTGAAGACGAAAAATTCACGTTTCAAAAATTGAAGATGAAAAATTCACATTTCAAGAATTGAAGACGAAAAATTCACATTTCAAGAATTGAAGATGAAAAATTCACATTTCAAAAATTGAAGACGAAAAATTCACGTTTCAAAAATTGAAGATGAAAAATTCACATTTCAAAAATTGAAGACGAAAAATTCACATTTCAAGA